TTGACATTTATAAATCATATGGTGAAAAATAAATCTGTTCTATTTTCTAATAAAAGGCTAAATAAAACAAATATTGGTGGTTATTTTTGACTGTGTAACTTTACAAACGACAGCCCATAACCAGCCTTCAAAATCCCATCAATAAAAACATCTCCAGAACATTTAAATGAATACATAACTTTATTTAAATAAATGCTTTGTCATAAGAAAAAAAAACAAAGGTTAAAAGAGTACATAAATTACAAGTTGAATAAATATTACACAGTGATAGTCGCTTTAATAGTTTGAGATTTTTTGTCTTTTTTTTTTCATTTATTTGTCCTTATAGCTCCGAATACTGACCGTTATTCCTCCTCCTGCCTCCGATGGGTCTGTCTCACCAACAAATTCTGAAAACCAATTGAGTTTACATCCAACAAGTGTTTATGTATTCAGAAAAAGGCTGTACTGTTATTGTTCTACTGAAGAATGAAATGAGTTTAAACCAAGCAGGAGGGGAGAAACCAGAGGATATCTACGCTCCTGGTTGTGGTTTCCCTCAGGTTTCCCCGGCTCCTTGAGTCTGTCCCACTAACTGGATCTACTGTGAAACTGGAGACCCCACATCGCTCGTCCTCCTCCCGCCTCTCTGTGCAACAGGCCATGAGAACATCTCTGCTCACAATGAGTTACTTTCATGTTTGTTCGTTTTGTTTTCCTAAAAGATGTTATTTTAAAGGTCCCAGGCTTGGGCTTTGACGGCCCCTGTCGATTCTTTTAATTAATACCTCAAAACATCTTTGAAAGCACGAGAGAACACAACATTTAAGATTTTCTTTTCTGTTGTTCGAACTTCACAACACGACATCTCAGGATGTCTTTKTGTTTCAAGAATGAGAAAATGAAATAAGTGCAAGCTGCTTTCTTTTAAAAAAAAAAGTAAAACGGGGATTTGGTGTTCGGAGACGTCTTGATACGGTTTTCACAACCATGTCAGAAAACAAAAATAAAACATCCTCCGGTCTCAACTCTCTGTACATTGGCATTCACATGAAGACAAAGGTAACAATCTTAGCTTATTGTCGAAGAAAAAGGAAGAGGCTCCCTGCGTGGTGGTCTTCCAGGTTTTAACAAAAGGAACAGATGATGGAAACATTTAATTTAAATATTTCTTTTTCCTTTTTTTTAAAGCAACAGTTCAGACATTTTAAGGTGAGGTTCTGTGGAATGGATACGAAGAGTTAACATCTTACATGCTGCAGGCATGACTTTGAACGAACTCGAACAACCAGATTTAAAAGCTGACTGGTCTGAATGCAGCCAAGAGGCTTTCTGTTGTCCTAACACAACTCTAATCTGCAGGGGCGGAGCCAACTGCCAACTCYGGCACCTGATTGGCCACCCCCAAATTATTAACAAGTGGGTGTGGATTTTGAATTTTATATTTGCATTTAGATGCCACTCATGCTACATAATTTCATCTAGCTGTTTATGTTTAAAATAGCTGAATTATAGCTCTTTGTAAAATTAGCATTAGCATTAGTGGTTAGCTTAACTTCAGGTAAGCATTTGCAATCGACATCTGATCTTAGCTACTCCACAACAAATCTTAAAGTAGCTAAATTATAGCCTTTTAAAGCTAGCTGTGGTGGCCATCTTGAATTTTTGATTAGCATTCACAATTTGGTAAAGATTGTTTTTGGCTACTTCTATGCTAATCTTCAGCTTTTTGTGTGTAAAAATGTCTAAATATTAGGCTGTGACTAGCATTCAGCATGTTGTTTGGATAATTTTTAGCTACGATCACACAAAATTTCAATATTTCTTAAAACGGCCGAATTAACGCTATTTGGAATTAGCTGTGGCGGCCATCTTGAATTTTCAGAGTGCTTTTCTTTTTTTCTTTTTTTTTTTGTATGTGCTCCTCTAGTAAATACCTTGGCCACCCCTTTGCAAAAAATAAAAATAAAGTCTAGCTCTGCCCCTGATTCTTAGTCATCCAGGATAAACAAACAATAGTTTTTAAAAGATGACGCGACTTCTTAATTTAAGCTAAAATTACCGTAAGTTGATGCATTTATGCAATTTAAATTTCTGATCCTTGGCTGGAACTTTTCYGAGTCATTTCCAGATCTGAGTTTGTACTTCAGAGGCAAATATTTAAAAACTGAGAGAGTTCAAAGCGCCACCWGCGACAGGTAAGATATTAACTGTTCATAACCGTCCTGTCGAGCTTCACTTCAAAAAATCTGAAGGATTCCTTTAGTCAGAACCAAAACCTGCCTCGTATTATTAATTTAGCAGTATGTAGGAAGGCACTGATTTCCATAAAGAGCCTGTTGGATCAGCTCTTCAGGTTTGGACCACGCTGCTGGGACATGAAGGCCGACAAATCGGATCGCCCCGTAGCCAAACGACAGCTTCTTGGGCGTACTCAAATTCTTTACAGGCAAGCACGTTTACATCATTAGTTTCCTAGAGGGAAAATAAAACAAAGTGTATTTAAAGTCATCCGTGGAGGTGCTGTTCCCAGGGGGGAAACATGGCTCAAAAGGTGGGTCGTCTTTACTGAAGGCAAAGAAAACGGCACAAACAAAACCATGCAAGACACCACTTCACACAAATCAGCTGAAGAAACCGGCCCGACTCGCAAATGATCTGAAACAAAAACAAAATCACACAAGTCGATAATCTGAGATCAACCTCGAGTCCCGTCGCTGCAGCTGCAAGTCTTTTTTTTTTTTTCCCCAGTAGAGCTGGAAGTCCTGCACGGCCGTGGCTGCTCACGTAGGCACAGTTGGTGTTTCAGGCTACAGCTACACGTCCACAGAGCTGGTTTACACGAGTCGGCCTGGATCTACGTTACTCCTCCTGAGTGCTCCGTGACCCACAACGTTCGAAAAGGCCCGCTCCGGGACCACGTCGAGCGCTCGCAACACTCGCTTTGGGAAAAGTCAAACAGAAAAATAACATTTTATCTTTATCAGACACACACGTTCACTCTGTGCACACACGCACACACGTTTTCTGTAAAGGTTGACAAATCTACACAGGATCCCTTATTTAGAAGTGCTCCAGCAGAAACACAAACATTTTCTTTAAGAAAACGGACTAAAAAAAAACAGTAATGAATTTTATGTCATCAGGATGTGTTTTTTTCTCCATAATGACCGTGTGTTATTTTTTCCCTCCACAAGGTATTTTACTGAAAGGCTCAGTTTCTGTAAAAATAAATCCCATGTCCCACGATTAAAAGGGTCTGGATCCCTCATTCAGAGGAGAGATTTTATTTTTTATTTAATTTTTTGGCTGTTGTTCCCCTCTTGTCTTGTTTGGTGGAATAAGAGTTTTGAATAGTGGGCGGAGCATACAGGTGTGATTCAGAGAGGCTTGGGCCCTGGGTCAGGTGAGGGGGGAGGGGCAAAGGAGGGCGGAGGATTCACTCGTTGCTGCTGCTCTCCAGGTCTTTGCACTGAATGTCCCCGCCGCTGTAGTCTGTCCCGGGGAGCTGGACCCCGTACTTGTCCACGCACCAGCAGATGCCTCGTTTGCGGCCGCGGGAAGGTTTGCACTGCGGGCGGGAAAACAGAATAATTTGAGTTTTATCGAGGGACGGTCAGTGTCACAGAGCAAAAATAATATATTTTCCTCAGTTTGATCTCAGAATTCTGAGGAAAAGAACCAGAATTGATTAGGATCAAGTCAGAATTGATTAGGAACAAGTCAGAATTGATTAGGATCAAGTCAGAATTGATTAGGATCAAGTCAGAATTGATTAGGATCAAGTCAGAATTGATTAGGATCAAGTCAGAGTTGATTAGGAAACAGGTCAGAGTTGATTAGGGATCAAGTCAGAGTTGATTAGGGATCAAGTCAGAGTTGATTAGGGATCAAGTCAGAGTTGATTAGGGAACAGGTCAGAGTTGATTAGGAACCAAGTCAGAGTTGATTAGGAACCAAGTCAGAGTTGATTAGGGAACCAAGTCAGAGTTGATTAGGGAACAGGTCAGAGTTGATTAGGAACCAAGTCAGAGTTGATTAGGGAACAGGTCAGAGTTGATTAGGAACCAAGTCAGAGTTGATTAGGGAACAGGTCAGAGTTGATT